TCCAGAAGGACACTGGATATTAAACACGACTGGAAGTGCTCTGGCAGATGACGGAAGCAGAATGGCGGCCCGCCTTTACTTATTCTCAGTCTCAGTATGTTCCACCCAGCCAATCAATAACACCGTAATAATTTAGAAAGGGCTATAAATCATCCATGATAGGTCTGTATCTTTTATTCCTGAGTTGCTAATTAGCCAAAATAGGATGATAGTTCACCTGGAGGCGTCTCGCAGTCATCCTGCATCCTCATGGGCCACCTCTCTAAGGGCTCTGGCTGCTCCACGCGGGTTCATCCCACATCTGTATCGGTACCCATTCACACATGCTTCCTCCTCCCTGCCTTGGGGCTTCATGGAGGAACCTGCACAATCCAGGTCAAACATCCAGCTTCTTATTGTCGGGGGTAAGGAGTTTGGAGACATATTTTATAGGATTCTCCAGAAGATTCAGGCTGAATGTCAGTGCTTGCAATAGTTCCTTGGATAACACCTTGGGTCATAGTTCTCTCTCTTTCCCTGTTTTATATTCCTGTTCCACAATTCTGGCACTGAAATAAACCATCCACATTCAGGCTCTGCTTTATGGAAGAACCCAAACAGTGCCACACTATTTGGTTTATGTCTTTCAAATCAGAATACATATATCATTTTTTTTTCTAAGTCAAACAACTAAGAAAGTCAGTAAGCCAGTACAGACTTCATGGCATAGTGCTTAAAATGCCCCTTCCCCCCGCCCTTCTTTTAAAGATACATATAATTTTCAATGCAAAGTCAGATCATATTTCCAGAGAGAAGGAGAGAAAGCAAGAAAGATCTTCTAGTTTACTACAAGGGATTAGTACAATGGTTTTACAAGTGGCCTCAATGGCTACAGCTGAGCCGATCCAAAGCCAGCAGCCAGGAGTATCTCCAGGTCTCCCACACAGCTGCAGGGTCCCAAGGCTCCAGGCCATTCTTTGCTGCTTTCCCAGGCCACAAGCAGGGAGCTGGATGGGAAGTGGAACAGCCGGGACAGGAGCCAGCACCCATATGGGATCCCAGCACTTGCAAGATGAGGACTTTAGCCACTGAGCCATCTCAGTGGGTCCTTAAAATAGTCTTAAAATTCAGGAGAGATCTGGGTGCAAATCTGATCTCTCATTTGTCTGGTAAATATGACTGGGCATTCACCTATATCAGGCTCTCTGCCACAGTGGGTACACAGTGGAATGGGAGCCAGTGCCTGACTTGATTACCTTCTCCCAAGCATCTCTGCACCACAAGTGAGTGCAGTCCTGACGTGATTCCTATCTCACAACACTGCAAGCAATCATAATGCTTCTCCCGGGCTAGGACAAAGGACTCAAAAATGATGGCGATTAACATGTCAGGCTCCCATTCTCCCCAGCTTTCCTCACCACAACGAACTCTTTCCTTCTAACCACCCATCAGTACTTCCTGTAAGGTGATCTGAAAGCATTTTGTGCAGTCTGGGTGGACACTGCAGTACCTCCTGGCATTCCTTCCCCCTGAACCAGTAGATGGCGCTGAGGCAGCACAGCACCCAGGGCTAAGGTAGGGGAAAGCTTTCTTGGGTAGGTAATGTGAAATGGGATCCTTCCGTAGATGCTAAACTGACAGTGAGATTTGGAAAATCCTTAGCACAGTGCACCTGAAATTTCCTGATAATTTGTGTTGAACTCATTTTTGTTTTTAACTCATTCCAAAAATTCAAAATAGTTTCAAGATTCTTGGATAACCTAGTAACCCAGAGATTGTTTTACATAGCCACAACCTAGCGTGAGACCTGGCGCTTAATTAAGGGGTTTCAGAAACCTTCTGAAATGAACAAAGCATCACAGAGTGAATTACACACACAGGGGTGGGACACAATTCAGAGGAAGATTGTTCAAAGCGGTCACAACATCCTTTAACTGGCTGTGGACTTGAACAAGTTAATGTTCTGGGCTGACACTCCCAGTTTGCCAAGTCTGGAAAGAGAGTATACTATTTATCATCCTTTACACAAGCATTTTAAGAAGTGTTCGGAACTTCTTAGCAACATATAAGCAAATGAGAAATTTTAATTCCCTGTGTAGAGAAATTCATTTTATGGGTATATGTCTGTTCCATGATATGCAGGTGCCTACCACATTTCGTGTAAAAAGATATTGTGAAGAACTGGTTCTGTGATGCAGTAAGCTAAGCTTCAGTAGCAGAAAACAAATATATGGATTTTAAAATGGGTTAAACAGGGGCTGGCATGGTGGTTAATCCTCAAACTGCAGCACTGGCATTCTATATGGGCATTGATTTGAATCCTGGCTGCTCCATTCCAACCTAGCTCCCTGTTTATAGTCCTGGAAAGCAGTAGAAGTCCTTGGGTTCCTACACTCATGTGGGGGACATGAAGAAGTTCCAGACTCCTGGCTTCATGTTAGTCCAGCTCCCAGCTGTTGCAACCGTTTAGGGAGTGAACCAACAGATGGAAGACTTCTCCCTCTGCCATTCCTTCTCTCTATAACTCTGCCTTTCAAATAAAAATAAATAAATCTTTCTTTAAAAAAGATATTTCATGTCAAGGTTCAAAAACTTCCATTTCCTTAAATTTCAAGACTGCATGCAACATCATTATACCTAGCAAGGGGCTTGTATGACAGTGAAATTTCATTTATCCAACATTATTGCAAGCGAAACAGACTGCTTATATAGTCCCCAAAATATTATTTAAAAGTGTTGATCCTCTAGAATGGGTAGTGAATTAACCACCATTATTACTGCAAGGTTTATGAGAAGAGCTATCTTCGGAAAGAGGAAAGATTTATTTGAGATCACAATTTTTGGAGGTGAAGTCCAAGATAAGGTCATCTCCTTGTCCTGGTGTCAAGAAGGTGGTCGATGGCAATGGTGGACCATGTGTGGAGGAAGGGTCACGTGGGGACAAGGAAGCAGAGAAAATGGCTGCATCTGGCTCTATAACCATCCCTCTTGTGGGAGGATGCAGTTCTCACGGCAGGTCTCCAATGACCTAAGGACTCTGTGGACTCCCACCTCTGATTGCTTTAGTTGGATTATTTCCATTCTATTACTGAATTAGGACTTTGAGGTTTAATATCCACCTGAGTTCAGGAGTCAAATCATCAGAACCACAGCAGGTAGCTGCCTGTTTCTCGTAGTATACTCTAAGGGCTCCTTTGTGGTTGAGCATGCTCCCCTGAGTTTAGCTTTACCCTGTGAGGTGATAAATTTGCAGCTCAAGAGGTCATGTTTAAAACTACACACACACACACACACACACACACACACACACACACACATATTTTTTTACAGTTTCTCTGCCATTCCTTCACTGTCACCTACCTGTTCTCCTGCTGGGTCTGTCATTTCCATGCCCCTGGCTCTCCCTTCATTACCCTTCCCAAGATCCATCGTTGTACAAAGTTCCCCCAACCCCAGCACACACACCTCACTACTTTTAACCTTTTTTAGACTGCAAAAAGTAGTCTTTTAGGCAGAACTAAAGTGTAGCCCAGACACAGTGCAAGAAGTATCAATGGGATTATTTTCCTACATAAGTTTTGAGACCAGGATTTAGATGACCTGTTTCTGGAATTCAAAGGCGTTTTGACTGACTTTGCTTTGTGGAGTAGGGTGATTAACTTCTAGTCCTGTAAACATTTATATATTTTTTTCAATTATTTTGATTGATATGATTTACTGATTCATTCGCTGACGTTTGTTTTATCTGAATTTTTTTGATTTTCATTTCGTTACTGTGTTTAAAATGAGTGTTGTACATATTTGGGATTTACAATGCTATGTTATAAGAAATAGCTGGATCAACCTGTTATTTCACAAGTTACTTTTTTTGCGAGCAGAGCAGGTAAAAGTTGATTTTTGAATAAAAAATTCGGTTGACTATGGTCTTCATGTACATTAGATCCCTGGATTGCTCAGCTGACATAGCTGCCATTTTTGTGTGTGTCATTTGACCTACATCTCCGTGTTTCTTCCTCCTCTCCCACCTCTGAGTCCGCCAACCACCAATTTTAATCTCTGTTTTCATGTATGGACCTTGTTTTAAAATTTTCACATATAATTGAAATAACACAAGACTTTTATTTCTGTGTCTGGCTTTTTTTCATTAGCGCAATATCTTCCAGGTTTATCCATATTGTGGAAAATACCCTTTGAACATACAGTTTTGAAGGCTAAATAGCATTCCATTTTGTGTGGATAGCTTTTTTTTTTATTATAAACTCAATGAATTCTGTGAATGGACACTTAGGTTGTGTCCCTATCTTGACCATTGGGAATAAGTATTTTGTCCCCTTTCAAGTGTATTCGGAAGAGGATTCCTGGGTCATATGTAGGTCTCTTATTAATATATTCATGAGCCACTATACTGTTTTCATTAATGGCTAAGCCAGTCTACATTCCTCCCAGCTGTGTGGTAGGGCCCCCTTCTCTTCATACCCTCTCTAATATTTACTCTTGTTTTCATAATAGCCATTCTTTTTCTAAAGATTTATTTATTTTTATTGGAGAGTCAGATATATACAGAGAGGAGAAGAGACAGAGAGAAAGATCTTCTGTCCAATCATTTACTCCCCAGGTGACAGCAATGGCTGGAGCTGCGCCGATCTGAAGCCAGGAGCCAGGAACTTCTTTCCGGGTCTCCCACATGGGTGCAGGGTCCCAAGGCTTTGGGCTGTCCTCGACTGCTTTCCCAGGTCACAAACAGGGAGCTCGATGGGAAGTGGAGCTGCCGGGATTAGAACCGGCACCCGTAAGGGATCCCTGGCGCGTTCAAGGTGAGGACTTTAGCCACTAGGTCACGGCACAGGGCCCAATAATAGCCATTCTTAACAGCATGAAGTAATATTGCGTATTGATTTTAATTTTCATTTTTAAAATTCAAATAATACATAGCATTTTTTCCTAACCCTTGGTCATTTGAATGTTTTCTTTGAAGAACAATCTGTTTAGGTCCTTTGCCCATTTTTTTCACATACACCTGAAAAAATATGGACCGCTTCACAAATCTGTGTGTCATCCTTGCACAGGGGCGTGCTAATCTTCTCTGTATCATTTCAATTTTGGTAGTTGTGTTGCTGAAGCGAGCGCCTTTGCCCATTTTCAAATTGGGTTATTTACTACTGAAGTTCATTTAGTTCCTTCTCAATTTTGGATTTGCCTTGTAGCAGTTGTACTGTTCAAAAACGTATCTTTACAGTCCATGGATCGTCTCTTCACTCTCTTGGTGTCTTCTTTGCTATGCAAAACATTTTTTGGCATGCTGTAATACAATCTGTCTGTTTTTGCTTCTGTGGTCTGAGCTTTTAATGATATCCGAAGAAATCATTGCCCAAGCTCACTGGCACGGAACTGTGCCCCTATGTTCTCTTCTGAATTCTATGATTCTGCAGTATGTATTTTTTTAAATCCATTTTTATTTGATTTCCATATATGGTCTAAGATCAGAGTCCAATTTCTCTGTTTCACAGGTGGAAATCCAGCCCTCCTGTACCATTGTTTGAAGAGATGACTCTCCCGTTGTGCCCCTTCTTAGTGAATTTCTCAGTTTGGTAAATTCTTACACAAAAATTTCTTAAATGTAGTACACAGCGGTAAAAACAATCGAACGCCAGTAATGAACATGTGAGTTTTGAGACCTTAAGTGAATTAAAACTTCACAATTTTAAAAGAAATCGAGGCGTCATTCCCTGAGCCAGTGTCTCGCTGTTCTGGAGTAGCTGTCTCAGAGAACTGTAATTTTAGAGAAGGGTGCAGGTTGAGGACAGAGTGTTCTAAAAGGATCCACACTTTCCAGGACAGCCAAGCCAAGGGGTGGCCACTCTCCAAACACCTTCTTGCTGAGCAAGACTTCTATTTGTCTGAAAACCTATTTGGCTCCTCTATAATTACTAGCTTTTTTATCTCCATTTTGGATCCACGCAAATCTCTCATTTTATGGAACACAGCACATCCCTGGCTTCATTGCAAAAATTTCCATTGGAAAAGAAAAGCCCTATTGTTAATGATATTATTCAGCCAAGCATGCTAAACTGAATATTGTCTTTACTATCCTCCATTTTAAGTACTCAGGGGTTATAAAAACATTTGAAACAATGTGATTTCAAAGGGATACACTTAGCTCCTCCAGTCCCCATTCTCTGGGCTTCCTATAGCCTCTCCTGTGACTTTGGTTTGAATTAATGCCTTGGTTGTTTGAATGTGAAGGTTCCTAAGACATGGGCTCTGACCACCTTCCTTCTTGACTACAGCCCCTTGGGAAGGACTCATGACTCCACTAACAGCTCATGCAACAGAAGTCTCAAATGGGTATTCAACGCCAGCCATTACCCATCAACAACCCTTCAGGGTCAACTCCACTCTCCCAACTGTGAGGCCTGGCTCCTGGCTTTTGTGTGGCCCAGCCCTGGGCTATTGCACCCATTTGGAGAGTGAATTACTGGGTCCCTCGCTCTCCTTTTCTCTCTGTTACTGTGACTTCCAAACAAATAAAATAAATCCTTCCTTTTTTTTTTTTTTTAAAGATTTATTTTTATTGCAAAGTCAGATATACAGAAAGGAAGATCTTTCATCCGACGATTCACTCCCCAAGTGACAGCAATGGCTGGGGCTGCACTGATCCAAAGCCAGGAGCCAGGAACTTCCTTCAGGTCTCCCAAGTGGGTGGATTCAGGTTCTCAAGGCTGTGGGCCATCCTCTGCTGCTTTCCCAGGCCACAAGCAGGGATCTGGATGCGAAGTGGGGCTTTTGGGTTTAGAATCAGCACCCATATGGGATCCCAGGACATTCAAGGCGAGGACTTTAGCTGCTAGGCTACCATGCCAGGCCCAAAATAAATCCTTTCTAGGGAGACGGTATTGGCCACAGGTGGCTGACATGGTGGGAAACAGGGAGGTTGTGAGAAAAACTGTGATCCAGGATGACAACACTTAAGTGAAAAGATTGATTCCTCTAACCCAGGACTTAGTCTGAGTATCCCTAAAGGCAGTTACACCAGTCATAAGCCTTCTAACATAATAAAATAGGCTGTCAAGTGATAGGCCGTCTAACTGTTAATGATCCATATCAGCCAAAAAAAAAAAAATCTTAAATCAGATGCACCAAGCCTTTCAATACCACTTCCCATTTGTAAGAAACACAGTTACGGCAACCACACAGTGCAAAATTCAGATCTCTTGCTGTAAGCCTCTGGATTCACACCTATGTGGCTGCTTCCCAGACAACAGCTGGGCATGGCCAGGTTCCCTGCACAGGTCCAATCTCAGGAACCGTGCAATTCCTTTGACTATAGCTTTCTCAGAGAAGTACTGCAGTCTGCATTTGCACTTCTCCATTTCTGTCTTCTCCTTTTACTTCACAAAGTTCAGGCATCACTGCCTTCCAAGGTCCCTTTTATTTCTAATTCAAATACATTCCCTTTAATAATGATTTTTTTTTTTTTTTGCTTCTAATCCATCTTGGTATCTGATTCTTAGAGTTAATACAAATGATACAGGAGTTGTCCAAGATGACAGACAGCAAATTGGGGATTGAGATTAAACATTCATCCCCCTATAGGCAAGGAAGTTGCTGAGACAAAGCTAGTCTCTGGCCAAAGAGGGACTCAGTTGCTTCAGATTTTCATGAAAAGAAGGAGATCACCATGCATTGGAGTTGGGCATTTGGAGGTTATGAGGGACAATGCCAACAAAGACGGAAGAATTGGCTCATTACTGCTTTGCTGTGTTGTGGCTCTGAAGGGAGATAATGAAAAACTGAAGACCATTAGCAAGATAAATGTAGGAGGTGGGTATTCTCTTTGGTGGCTTCTGAAGAGCCCCTTATCTCCTGCAAGAGATGAGTGGACCAGCTTTATGACAGATGTAGGCCCTGATCATTAGACTCACCCAGCTACAGAAATGTTTGAATGCTCAGCCAAAATTTATTATGCCAAGAACAAGGCCAATAACATATTGGATTTAGCTCCTCTTAGCTCACAAAAGCCAATTAATCATTAGCATCTCTTCAAAACTCCACATTCAATGTCATGTTGGTGGCCCAAATTCAAGTCACAGAATATCTGTGCCATGGAAATCAGCAAGTGCTATGAGTCATGGATTCTCTTGATCTTTCTTTTCAGAGAGCTGGTTATTAAATATTAAAGCAAGAAGCGCTGTTTCTACATCCTCTCCTGACTGCCAGACCAACAATGAAAATTAAATCCCAGTACAGCCTTGCAGGGAGTATAACCGCACCCAAGGATTGTTCATGCAGGGACTGCTAGATTGCCCAGCTTTCCCAGACAGGAACCTAGGGGGATCCTAGGTGGTACATTTTATGGGTGCTTATCAAGCAAAACAGAACATAAGTAGAATGAGTAAGAATGAATTTATTTGGGCCCAGCGGCGTGGCCTAGCGGCTAAAGTCCTTACTTTGAATGCACCAGGATCCCATATGGGCACCGGTTCTAATCCCGGCAGTTCCACTTCCCATCCAGCTCCCTGCCTGTGGCCTGGGAAAGCAGTCGAGGATGGCCCAAAGCCTTAGGACCCTGCACCTGTGTGGGATACCTGGAAGAAGTTCCTGGCTCCTGGCTTCGGATTGGCATAGCATCGGCCGTTGCACTCACATGGGAAGTGAACCATCGGTCAGAAGATCTTCCTCTCTGTCTCTCCTCCTCTCTGTATATCTGACTTTCCAATAAATAAATAAATCTTAAAAAAAAGGAATGAATTGATTTATGGACTATTTTCTAGAGATACTGATTTAACATCTGACAATAGCTCTAAGGGAAGGTTGTCAGATAAAAGTATGTCTCACGCAGTATTGGGAGATATGTATACTAAAAAGTATTTGGTGTTTATCTGAAATCCAAATTGAACTGAGCAGCCTGCATCTTTATTTGCTAACATGGAAGCACAAGTCCCAGTGGATACTCAAACCTGCCTCTAGGGAGGCACATCACAGCCTGGAGAAAGTGAAGATCAATGCTAAGTCTGTGAAATTCCCAAGCTTCCCTACCAGAAAGAAGGCTGATTGAGGTTGAGGGAAGTGGAAGATTTGAGATGATGATGTTCTATATCGTATCATTAAGGCCATGGGTCCGAGTAAGTGAGCACGCACCTCTATTATGTAGTTCAGGAGTGGCTCCTCCGCTCTCACCCATGATGGTGGAAAAGGCTGATGAGACGTGGGTTTTAACATCCGTAGACATGGGGGAGCCCCAAAATTGCAGAGGATCAGAAGTGACTGTGCAGCCAAGGGGCTGAAACTCTTCCAACAACCAATGAGGGTCCACCAAAGGCATCTGTGGAAGTGATTCCCCTGAAACAGGAAGAAACCAGGACTTTGGCCTTGTAATATGTTCATAAACTTCATCAAAGCTACAGGCACAGATTAATCTATGACTGGAGAGTAACAAAAAGGCATAAAGATCCAGGACTGGTTAAATAAATTATCCATTTAGTCCTACATGAGTTTGAAATTTCTGTGTTGACTAGGAAGATCTTCACTAGGGAACATAATTACAGTAAAGTACGTGTCTTCACTTGGAGATGATTCCAGCTGATTTGTGTAATTTTCTGCTTATATACTGTTATAGTATACCATGTAAAAAGTTTATTAATAAACTGAAGCTCTGAAAAGCTCATTCTCATTTAGTATTCTTGTGAGTCCACGTATGAATGTGCTCTTGTAAAGCGGGGTCTGTGAGTGCCTTTGTGTGTGAGTGGACGCCCATGCACAGCTGTACCCCCGCCTAGGTAAGGGACACATACAACCAGGGGGATAGCTGGGGACTGGGTTGCAGGGTTAAAAAAAAGGCATTTATTTCTGAAAGTAAATTTCAGATGAGATTTTGGCCACTTTTATCCCCTTTCCATTTAAACATTAAACCTCATGTACCTGAAAAGAAAGAATAGAGAACTTCTAGACTGGAAGGAATACAGAGAAATAAGTAGGGGCAATAATTCTTATTCTCAATCATCACATAAATAGAGTTTGAGAAAAAAATAAAGAGCCTTTGCTAAAGGGATGGAAGCGGTATGCTGTCTTCAGGGGATGGACAGGTTTTAATTAAGACAGAGTGGCAGAAGGAATGTTGAAAGGAGGTT